TTGGGTACACGCTAAAGAACCCCAGGGGGTTGAAATTTCCTGAGCCCTCCACTATGGCATCTCAATCATATGGAGGTTTTGGGACGTTAGAACCCCACATATCAATCAAATATCCCCGAAGGGAGTTGTGATAAAATGCGAATGCATTTCGTAGTGTTCATAACAGCGTTTCACACGTGAGAACCCAGCGATAGAAGAATAATGTTTTCTTTTTTTTTCTTACACTGTGCAGGCAATAGTGCCGTTTGCCGCACATGGCGCGTTTCTGTTGTGAGAAATACCGTATGCATTCCCAGCTCTAGTAGCTAGCGTTAAGGTTAAAATAAGCGTGTGCGCCCGTAGCTGCTGCTGACAGCTGCCGATGCCGAAGTGTGACCTAGTGGGGGCTCTGGTTGCTAGGGACGCGCGCACCTGCAGCTGTTGCTATGGGAGAGAGCGGTGAATGAATCCTGACGGATGCCTGACATAGCCAGACTAAGAAATGCATTCGCGTTTAAAATTAGGACGAGACATATACATGTCAAGCAGTAAGTGGAAGTTCAGCAGGGAATTTTACACCAAATCTCAACAACTCAACCTCAGCAGTGAACATGGAAAATATTATGCTCTAGATATTGTATACCTTACAAGAAGTTTCACACTAACTTGCAAACTCGCATGTTGTTCAATCCAGGTACTGTCTAACGGGAAAAGAAAACAAGTCCTTCCCTGTTCCCTTATGTTGGGCAATACTGCGCAATATATATAGGGTTCTCAGCTCTTGGTTTTATTTCTTTTATTAGTTGGCTAGAAGTCTTGTTTTATATTCTGGGGAAAAGTTGTATTTTTCAAGAGAATTCGGAATTTTTCGGGTTACAAAACAACATTACAAGGAGGGCAGACCCATTTAACAGAGCATAATCTGTTTTACTTTAAAGAAAAAAAAAAAGCATGCTATGTATTAACAGATTTTTTTTCTCAGGTGCAGTCATCATGGGAGTTCTGTCTCCATGGTAGAGCTGCATGACTTCACGGGCATGACAACTAGATCTTTTTTTTTATTACAGCTGTGGTTTGACATTATAGAAATTATTAAAGTAGTGTTGGCCATTCAGTGAAAGTACACAGTTACAGCTTTTCCAATATTTGAGATCAGCACTGGTGACATGAAGGCTTCCTTTAGCGGGTAATGTACAAGTTTTTTGCACATTAGTGCTGCACCACATTATTTTCCTTCAGCAGCGGTCTTCTTTGAGACACATTGAAAGCAGCTTTTAAATTCTGCATTTCATGCCGACTTAAGGGTTTGGAAGCTTGTTTTCGTTTCTACAATAAGGGAGTACGTAGTCCAGCTTTTCCCCAAAAAGTGGATTTTACGGTTTTCCGGAAAGGGCCATAATTAAGAATGTTCGAACTAAGGCTGGCAAAGCTAAAAAAAAACCCTGTGTGCGCGTCATGGCATTTTGACAGATTTAGAATTAGTACTGTTGCCACAACGGCAACAGGTGGCACTGCCTGACGCTCCCACTTTCAAATGCAAATAAAGTGGGTGGAGGGATGACCGCCACCGTACATCGTAGCTCAGTGGCAGAGCATCGGATGCGTTATTCAAAGGTCGCAGGTTAGGATCCTGCCGGTGGCGAGTTATCTTTTCCTCCGCTTTTCTTCTTTCACAGTTACATTACAAATCTAATAACATCCCCTATGCAGCTAAAGTGGTTGCTTGGGCCTCTATGCTTTTCTTGGCATCATTGTCTGTTGGTTCTCATTAATAGTATTGTTCATTGACTTTCTGACCAATGCTGAGCATTTTTAATTAGACATTTGGCACAAATTACTCTGATTAATCAGCTAGCTCTAAATAATTGATTAGATGAAACATCTTTATGGAATAAAATTGAAGACCCTGTCAGGTAATGTCCAAATACTACTTGCTTTCTGTGGTAATGTCTAGCATGGGTTTATTTTTTCTAGGCTACAAAAAAAAAAAGGGTGCGAGAACTTACAATAATTTATTTTCACCAATAAATTACTGATAAGACGGAAAAGTGGGCTAGTTTGTTTGGCTGCATAGTGGGAAATTTGCACACACCACACGAAGACTATGAAAAAAGTTCACTAGGACCAGGACAGACTAACAGCTCACCTTTATTCCATACGAAAGCACATACTCTATACATTCCCTACAAGCACCTCATAATCACTGTGCATGAGCAGCAGAGCACCATATATTCCATTACATAAAAACTATAAAACTATGAATGACAAAGCTGATACACTATAACATCTTGTTTAGCGCATTAATTTTGTCTTCATTCAATGCGATGGACTGATGACTAGGGTAATGCATCTAAGCCAGATTTCAAGATGCATGAGTTAGTCATCTATGTTACTTCTTTTTCTGGGCACATGTTTGCCCAACGGTTAGTTCCTTCTTTGCTGGCTTGAGTTCTGTGTTCTTTACCATCACAACCACATCATGCATTTATGTTTATTATGCATCAAAATCTCTGCATTAAGTACGTAATTTTGAAATGGCACTGAGTGAAATAATTAAAGTATGCTCAACGAAGTATCCGACAAGTTCACCCTTTCAGTGTAACATTTTCTTTAGTACACCAAAATGCCTTTCAAGCTGTAGAGACTAATAAATGCATGATGGTGCAAAAGTTTCTTTGTTTCAGTTCATTCTACGTGTATATATTAGGCATGTGCAAATATTTGAGTGCTTTGAATGTTTGAATTAATATTACAGTACTCAAATTTGGTTCAGAAGATAATAAAATATTCCAAACTTCAGTGTATTAGAAATAAACTCCCCGTAAAAGTGCTTTCACTGCAGAGGAAAGGTGCTGCACGTGAATACACCTAAGGCAAATCCACACTGTGCGAAGCCCCACTTCAAAGTTAAATGAACACATCAATTCATAATTTTGTAAGTTTAAAAGCTTGCTTTACAGGCTTGTAAGCTTTAAGTTTAGCAAGTTTTGAAACGCAACATATGTGACAGGTTATCAACTGAATTCAACACCAAGTCAAATCCTGCTTAAATTCAAAGTTGCTTCCACTTCCCTTTGAACCAAAAAGAATGACATTTGCACATATGTTGTTCCAATTAAAAAAATATTGTGCAGGGTATTTGGATTATGAATACAGTCGAGCCCACATATAATGGCCCGACTTAAAACAAACAATACCCGCGTGACCATGAAAATATACATTGGTTCAATGGCACAATATCGCACTTACAACGAATGTCTCCGAGCACCGCTGATCGGTTACAGCTAAAGGAGTCAGTGGTATGCCGGCTTCCTGGGAAACCAATTTCGACCACCGATCAGGCATCAGCGAAGTGCTCATACATTCTTATTGTTAAACACCGACCCTGCCTTCGCGACCCTCTAGTTGCCGCTCTCCCCACCCATGGAGGAAGGAAAGCTGTTTCCTTCCTCCATGCCCCAACTGTTTTTTGTTATGCACCCCTCCGTCCTTTGTTCCCCCGGTACTCTGAGCACCCCGCATTGCCAGACGAGGCCCGTGTTTTCACACTGCCACCGATATTTTGAAGACCGGTCGGCCATCTACCCTGTTTTTGATCGCTAGTACTGTTGTTGGCGTCGCCGGCCTGGAGTGATCCGACCATTTGCCAACATCGTCGGCCACCGACTGTATCCTATTGTCTGCGCGCGTACGCTACCCCAACGACTCTGATAATTTGCGATTCCTTTCGTGTTTAGGAAATTGGCTGTTAAATTGCATGGAACGAATCGCGAAATATCGAAGTTCATGAGGCCACGCATACCCGCCGGCGCAACAAAACGATTTTTTGATCACGGCCGCCGATTCTTCGAACACCGCCGCGCGCACCGATCCAGGCGGCCATGCTTTGACTTCTGCGTGCGCAAGCACTCTTTCCAAGTTTTTCTACGTGCGAGTTTCGCAAACCTTTCAACTCCACCGCTCCGCGACGCCCGACGCTGACTCGAATTAGTTTAGTTTTCTGACTGGAAACGGGCCCAGAGCTGTTCCACGCGTTCTGGCATGTATGTCGCGTGTGCGCGTCTTGATCGCTCTTGGTGTGCATGTGTGGTCATGATGGCCGACGAGAGGACTAGCACGCTTTTTCGTGCTGCTCAACAAAACGTCGAAAGTGTGACCGCTTGGCTTGAGCGTAATCCGCACGTGAGGTGGCGCATTGCGGAGCGCTTGCTCATAGCTGTTGACCACCTGGCAGTCAACTCGCCGCTTGGGGCGTCCTGGTATTCAGCTGTGGAGATGGTGAATATTTCGTGGGCGACAGTGACGGCAACATGCGCGCGAAACTGTTTTCGCGAGGCCGACTTCGTTGACGTCGGGCCCGATAACGAGCCTGATGCTTCCCAACAGGACCACTGCGGCGGTGATTTGTGGCAGCGCGCTGTCGACTCCGACTTGGGAGAGCGGGTGGGACATCTGTTGTGATGGTTTAATTACGACCGATGATGCTGCCGACACTGCGGAACCGTGCACGGATTGGGGCATAGTGAATGAAGTACATGGGGAGAGCGATTTGGAGGAATCAGATTGCGAAAATGACGAAACTTTGGAGCCAGTGCCGCATGCAACTTATGCCACGGGCCTCGGCGAACGAGCACTCTGCCGTTTCAAATGAACTCGAGACCGCCCTTATCATTTCTGCTCTTCGAAACACGTGCATGATGGACTTTTTGGGGCAAAAAAAGTTTGTGTTTTCACTCGCAACTTTTTTTAAAAGCTGTATTTCATTTGCTACGAACTTTGGGATACAGAGAATGGATGCCGTGTCACGCTCAAGTTCGTTATAAGCGGGCTTGACTGTATGCTAATTTTCTTTTATAATATGGGATATGTACTATTCGTCTTCAATTTGATTAGGAATTAAATTATTTAACCAATTTGACCAAACTCTTTGTTTCGAATTTGCGTCGAACCTAAATGTCACTGTTTGCACCTGCCTAACATTTATATTGCTGTTTACAGGAGTTATTGCCTTGGTTGTGCAGGTACTGATTGAACCAGTCAACATATGGAGAGATCTACAAGGACACAATTTGCTGGTATGGACATGCAGCTTATTCTCACAAGTACACATTCCCTCATTGTTCACCGATCACTACTTGGCTGTTCATTTAGTTATTCAGCATAGATAGAAATTGTTGCAGCATTAAACTGACTCTTATATATTGCATTTCTCCGGATTATCAGTGTTTTTCAAAGAGTAATTTTGTCTACAGTCTTAGAAACCTTTTTATAATGAAGAGCAACAATTTCATTGTATTGTTATTCTAAAATTCAATACCGTTAGCTACCATTTGCAAGGGTGCAAATGGTAGCTATTTCATTGTATGTTTCTGCAAGTAATTTTAGAGGCCACTTGCAACAAAATTTTTTACCGCGAAAAGTGTTGCTATGAGCAACGTACGTGCATAATTTCACATTTATATTTTTCGTTGCCACTCGTGAGATAACTCGGTGACCTTTGTACACCCTTCTCAGCTCTTCAAGTAGTAGTAAAATCTCAATATGATGAACATGGATATAATGAAATATTGATTATAACAAAGTAAATGAAAAATAGTCTTGCAATGAATACATTGTTAGAAATAACCTTTATAATGAATTCTCAGATATAACAAACTTATTTTCTTGTAAGGTGCAACTTGGTGTTTGAGTGTATACTTGTTTTGTGCACACTTTATGTGCATGTTCTTCTTCTCTGAAGAAAGCTTCTGCAATAGAAAGGTTTTAAAATTCAGGCTTCATGTAGTACAGTAAATCGCCTAATGGTGCTTTCGAAAAATGGTTCACCAGATCTTAGTAATAAAGAAACTTGCACTTCTCGTTGGTGACTGATGGTTAGACCTGTGCACTGGCACCAAAATTTCCGGCGGTGGCGCGCCGGTGTTTTTACCTTCAGCGGCGCAGGGGAGGGGGAGGGGGCAGGATCAAGATCTTGGATCTTGATCCTGCCGCCTCCCCTCCCAGTCAAGGGACAAGTGTCTATGATTGGGCATAGACACTTGTCCCTTGACTTTTGAAAAAAAAAAAAGTTTCCTGATAAGGCTAAGCAGTTATCATGGTAGTAGCATGTCTCAATGTTATTTATTTTTTACAGAGACTGCTATCTCAATTTTCGAGGCATAGCAGGTATAAATACAAATGTTCAGCAGCTTGAAGAAATACAATTTAACAAAGTACACGTTTACGTAATTCTTTTTCCCAATTGCTCAGCACCGAGTCTACGCAGATACCTATCAAGCTCATTCAAAAATGCACGTCCTGCAGAAAAGCGAAAAACAAACAAAAGCGAAAAAATTAAAACAATTCTGAATTATTTTAACAGGCACAATATTTATCGGATCAAATCACTGTGCCTGGTGTGGAGAAGATGCTACGAAGGATATGGGTGCTAGAACACTCGAACCGGTGTAAATTATCTTGTTTATGCAGGAGGATGACATGATTTCAAGTGCGACGATGTTCGAGAGGGGCTGCAGCGATAAAGCATCCGAAGTAGGCAAGGGAACGCTGGTCATAGCGAAGAAGTATAAGCACTATTGCTTTATTTTAAACAGATTATAACATAGTCACGTCATGTTGTGGCGAAGCCACCAGACAACCAACGCATATTCGAGTCTGACCAAAGTCTTATGTGCTGTCAGTCAGCATTCTTTTGTCGAGTTGCTTAACATGCGTCAGAGATACCAAAGTTTTTGAAGAGTTTGTTGCAGGTTGTTTCAATGTGAGTGTGCCATTTTAAATCTGCTGTGAGAGTTGCACAAATGTATTTACACTACATAATACTTCATTAGCTTATGTAAAATGAAGAGGTTGTTTATTAATTGTAAATGCTGTGACTACAATCTTTCTTAAGTTTGCCATGTTTCACTACCATTTCAAAACGACGAGAAAAAAATCACAGCATATCCACGAGTATAAACGATGACGAGTGGGGTGAAGTGGACAGACAGACAGACAGATGCATGGATGTATGCACAGAAGCACGGACACTTCGCCCTACTCATCATCATTCACTCCGTGGATACGCCTTGACACCCTTTTTACTGACATGCAATGCAATGCAACTGGCTACTACCATGGCTACGACGACGCGGGACATACGTCCCACGGCGTAAGAAGCTTCGTTCCAAAACATTCTGCGCATTTTTATCTTGAGGATTAGAAACAGTTCTACAAATAACGCCATCACATGCATCCATTTTAAGTTTAATTTCAGTATCGCTGATAATTTGTTTTCCATCATTGATATAATAAATAAAAGTGGACCAAGAACTGCACCTTAAGACTTATTCATGATGTGATATGTGCTTCAGATAATTTCGCATGACTAAGCATAACAAATTTTGAGCGTGGCATCTAGTAATCAGCTATCCAGTCAAACAGAGTGTTGAAGCGAAAAAAAATCGTGAAAAAGCTGAAAGTTTAGCATGCGGAACCGTGCCAAAGACTTTGAATAGTCACATACGACATTAGACTGTTTACCATTCTTAAAAGAAGGAGCAATGCTGTGCGTAAATTGAAGGAATCGTGTAACAGTCTACTAGAAAAGCCAGCACGAAAGCCGTGGTGGGATAGTGAAAGTATATTGCGTACACTTAGGTTTTCTACAATGTATTTGTTAATCATATGCTCCAAACATTTAGAGTTCCTAGAAAGTAAAAATATTGAGCTGTAATTTGGTTTATTTGTTAGTTTCCGGACATAAATACGGGCACTACGTTTGCTAATTTCTATAGCTGGGGAACTGTTGCAGAGGTTATTGATTTTTTAAATATTATAGTAAGGTAGCATCTCATTCTTAATACCGCCTATTCAGAATACTATCTAAGCAAACCGCCTATTCAGAATACTATCTAAGCCAAATCGTTTCAAAACCTTTAGTGTGAGGTTGTGTACTAGAGGAGCTTAATTTAACATTGAATAGAGCAGGTAGTTTGGTGCACGCGGAAAATGGAGTGATGCCATTATCGGTATAAAAAACAGGCTTGAGGTAATTATTGAAGACATTTGCTATAGCTTGAGTATTTGTGCAGCAGAGTGGCGCAGTGGAAGCAGGCTGGGCCCATAGCTTGAGTATTTGAAGAAGACTGGCCACCAAGTATGAAGATGAGGGCATAGAAAATGCAGGAACTAATCGAGCTCTGGAACCTGGATGGATTTTTTTTCATAAATGTAGCGAAGGCATTGCTAAAGTAGCAGTTACCTCTTTCGTTTTAGCTTCTAGCTTACTTCTCAAACGATTAAATGAAGAAGCATTATCGTTACACTTGGAATGACGATTCCTACATAAGTGTTTGATGTGTCGAGTGAGATGAATTACATATTTATGGTCCCATGGTTGTCTTGGGTTCCTTTTAATATATATTTGAAGCACGTATTTTGATAGTCATTCACACACAATGTAACTAAACTTAAAAGGGAGCGCATCTACACTTGGAAATTCGCTACAACATTCAAATTTCTCAAAAGATGAGGCTAAAGTGATGAGTACAAAAGTCTCAACAAATTCAAGAAAGTTTGAAACAATTTTACCCTGACGTATTTGAGGCCAACACGCTAAGTTTGAGGCCAGCCACTTCAACAGTTTTTGGGTCAGAAAACCGTCCACGACTTCATGTTTTACAGCATGCGATAGGAGCATGCAACCCGATAACAAGTTTAGGCTGCAGCTAACTCTCTTTCATCTGATCTCGCGCAACTGCTAAATGTCGGTGTATGAGAATGTGGCCGCTCCCGAGAAAAGGGCTGGGGCAGTGTTTGTGCAGTGATATGATTGCGCATAGAAAGGTACACGAGCCGGTCTCTGATGCCTGCTGAAATAGCGAGCGTGCTAGCACTTGCAGCCGTGCCCTTATAATCAAACTTCACAGTTGCGGATCAAGCCACACAGTCTGAGCATCTCTTCATACTTCTTCGTCCAGCAAAAGAGAGGCAGGGCTTCCTTTCCGGTTGTAGAGCAATCGATGGTAGGCATCGCACTAGGAGCTATGTTATCTCATGTGCCCTCCGGGTGATGGAGATGGGCAGCTCGTTTCATCTATGCTTCAGCAGTGTTCCTCGCCAGTGCTCACCAGATTTTATGTGTGGTAACAGCATACAGTATGCGTATAAATGTTATTGATTTGGATTTTATACGGAACATGACAACGGTGATGAAAGCCTGTAGAGTGTGTCCATATATTGCTTCTCACAATCAAAAAATATACAGAAGCCCTTGAAGCAGGCTGGCCTTTTTTTATGGAGTGCTGCGTCGTCTTCACTGTATTGAGTTCGTCTGTTGGGAGAATGTAATCCAGAGCCTCTCCCTTTTGTTTTGTTCTCAATTACACTTTACTACACTCCCATCACTACAATTCTTATAGGCTATATCTTTTTGTCATTTATGTCTTCATAAGCAGAGTTGCTACTGACTTTCGAGTAAAATTCACGAAACAACGAGCGAAATGTTGCCAAAAGTCGGCATTTTTCTTCAAATTTCGCCAAAAAAGTCACCACTGTACATATGTGCAGCGTGCCTAGTGATAAAAATTCCAAATTATGTGTGGCCTCCTGGAGTTCGGTACCATTCATAAAACCTGAATTATATTGACATTTCTTAATGCCAGTCACATCACTCGCTTCATCATAAGAGCACTGAGAAAGGGAATGGATGCACTAGCAGCGTCCTTGAATGCTAGCGCCTCATAACAAAAGTTTGTGATGGTTTCAGTTGTAGCAAATACAGAATGAAGCAGTCACTACAACAAGAGAGGGACACTGTGCGTAGTCCTTCTGTATATTTAGAGAATTTCGCTGTAGTGGAATCATGAGTCCAATAATCGGAAAATTTAATTACAAAGCAACGGAAATAAATTCGAAATTGCTGCATAACCGTTGCAATGCCCACACCAGTTTTTCATCGTGGTCATAAGCTTATGCTAAATATTCGCCTCACTAGTTTCTGAAGGCTGCCCGAGGGAGTCCGACATCTTTGCCTACCCATTAACACATTTAAACTGAACATACCAAATTAGGGGGTACTACAGCTGCGAAGAGGTCGACAAGCTATTCACAACCCATAGAGCTACGGTTGGAACAGGCGACCTATAACCGTTGTCAAACCACTTCAGGCGCTAAATTTTGAAGATGCTTAAAGCTCTTGAGGCACCTATAAACATACACCACCACCTCGCGGGGTGCGGAGCAGTCCACTGACCGGAATTGCTGGGAGGTTGCTGGTGGACGCACTAGTGCGCCATGATTTAGGTGAATAGGGAGGTACATATGAGAAACAGGACAGACATACTAAATTGCGTATAAGTGTGCCTTCTACTGATGGGTGTAAAGCTAAGAAAAATAGAAAAAGTTGTCACCCATTCGTTTTGAATACACTGAGTATAGAATGCCTAACTCAGTCGATACCCAAGCCGAAAATCGCCACAAATTTTTCATGTCGCCATCCATGATTTTAGGTTGCCAAGGGACTCTCAAATTTGCCAATTTGGTGAAAAGTAGCCTCCTGTGGCAACCCTGTTCATAAAGCACGAGTGCAATGCGAGCTCTAAACCTAGAGCCCATTGGGATTTCTAGCTTGTGGGCTACACTCTGTTATCTATACTTGCGAAGTCGGAAACTCGCGAAATAAAGGGAAATCTCAAGTTCATTGCACATGATAATCATTCGAGATGCGAGGAGGAACGGGCGGGAAGTGGGCAAATGGGTTGTAAAAACAATTCACAACTGGTATTTCTCGTACACGGACCATTCGAAAGCATGTGCCCTAATCATGACACGTGAATGACCGTTCTTGTGTCACGAAGAGTGCCAGAAGTACGATACGAGTAAAGAGAATAACTGTTTCAATTGTTTATTATCGAAAACTGTTTTGGGGTTTTAATATAGACAGAGTATGCAAACTTGGACACAAGAGAGCAGTCAAGACACCGCAAACACCGCTCTGAAAAATCTTAAAGCTCTAGAAAAGAAGGTGAAGTGACGTATTTTAGGCACAGATTACTTGCTCCGGTTAAAATGAGACAAACAGTGGTGCGCGGCAGTTATTGCGCAGTAGCGGCGATGGCGTGGTCTCTCTCTCGGAACTTCAGCGGCGGCGGCTCCAACGGCGTGAGCGAAAATGGGCGGCGGTTCACGGCTCTACTAATGGTTCAACAATGCTGACACTTTCAGAATTAGATTTTCTATTGTCACCTACGAACACTGCCTGACAAATCTGCACCCCTATCAGGATTGTGGAAGCAGGGCTAGCACTCGTGCACCTATGTACAAGTGGTATTAAAGCATGTTTGTCATATACTTTAGTATCATGTGTACTTTGAAAGAAAGGGAGAGCATCACAAGGCAGAATAACCTTTGTTTACTTTTCTTGTCCAGGAACTGATGTACAAAGAACCGAAGCGCTGGAGCCTCACATTCCAGACCTATGTTCAGCTGACTATGATGCAGCTGCACTTGGAACCCGTGCTGACCCCAGTAAAACTTATAGAGCGATCGCTCCAGAGTGCACGTTATGTCTTTGTGGAGAACTTGTACCGCAGGTGTGCTGTTACATATCACTAAAATTTTAGGGTTGAGTCAGTAATGGTGCTGAATTGATATAAGTGCGCCATGTATTACAACACAGATTATGCAAGTGCAGCAAAGGGCATCACTTTCTTGTATATTAGTGCAAAGCACCATTTTGCAGCTGATTTTTAGAAACACTCAATTTCTGCATGAGAAAGTGCTGCATTGAGATATTCATGCTATCTTAGGCAAAAAAAAAAGAGTACAGAGCTTATGCCAGGGAAAAGGGGAATGAAACATGCTTGCCAATATTAGAAGTGCCTTTAGCATTAGAAAATGTTAAATATCTAGGGAAGTTCAAGATTACGTGTTTGTCTCAGCTTGAGTTCCTCTGGCTCAGCATTGTGTCTACTGCATACCTTGTTTTGTAATTTGGCGAATCACTCTAATTGCCTTAGGCTAACATACGTGAAGAATACTAAGATTCTTAACTAGAAACTAGATTCCTTTTAATGAACACTTTATGGTAAGGGGGAGGGAGATATGTGGTACATAAGTGTTTTCTGCATTTTTTTGTAAATTGATGAAAATATGCATACACTTTTTGGTTTTGCAAGTGCAGTTTTTTGTTGTAGTTGAATTACTTCAGGATATAGGCTAAGCAGCCATTCTGCTATTTCTAAAGGTAGTAAAAAAAAAACTGCACAGCTGTAAGCAAGTATAATTAGATTGCATAGATACTAGAATATGCAATAAATACATTACTACAAGCCATTTTTTAATTATCATAGTAAGTCATTCTGCAAATGACCAGATTTCTGTGTTTACACCATATCTATAAAAAAAAAACATGCAGGAAATTAAGATAGTGCATCTATAACCTTTTTATGTAAGCTAGGGCTTATGTTAGAAAAATAAATAATAAACAATGCTGGCAAGTGTAAATTCCAGTGGATAGCATTTCCTGATTGTGCTTGGTATGACATGGCAGGTCACTCCAGGTGGCATATGATTGAGTGGCCATAGCTGTATATAGCACTGAGAAAAACATGAGATGGACATGGAAGCTGATAGTACATGTATGTAGTCCATGATCTCGCATGCTTACGCTGTTTGCACTTGTTTTTGTAATTTCAGTGGCCACATGACATCTCTTGAGTTGAGCATCTTGAACCAGTGGTTTGACTGGATAAATGGAAATGTTGCTGTTGGACTGGATATGATAAGTAAGCATATAAAAAAAATGGTGGAGTTTTACTTCTCAAAACTGCAATATAATTGAGGCATATCATAGTGGGGGAAATAGCTTTAATTTTTACTACCTGCAGTTTTTTTATTGCACACCTAAATATAAGTACTTGAGTGCTGCCGCATTCTGCCCCCGTCAAAATGTGACTGCCTTGGCTTCATGTTGAACCCATGCGTATTACACCATAGAGAATGTGCTGCCTGTTTTATTAATGACATGTGATATGGCCATAGTTAATCCCAAAAGCATGAAGTCATTTTATAAGCAGTATTTTTCAATCTGAAAGGCTCTGAACACGGATGAGCCCTTTAATCCAGCAACGCTCAGAGTTGATAGCAATGCTGGTAGCCTTTCTGGCAACTTGTGCATGCTGTCATTCTGCTTTCATAGGAGTTCCTGTAACTATGCTTAACCACGTTTATTCTGAGCTTTACAACTATTTTTGAAAATAAGCCGGTACAATGAGATGATGTGGCTTTATACAGCTTCTCTGTATTTGTACTACGGAGAGTGCGCCTGCACCCAAGGTTCTTGTGCCTGTGTCGTGGAAGGCTTGTCCTGTCTTTGCTACTCTCGACACACGAGCCAAGCCAAGTCACCCAAAACGTCACTGCGCATATGTCGGCCGTGCTGACTAGCAGTACACATAATTTCTGAGACAAATTGTGAATAGAAAACCACGTTGCTCCAAAATCTTAGCTACCTGGAAACTGCGTGCATGGTTTCTTGAGCATGCAAAAAAGTTGCCGAAGACGTGCTGACAAGCATGGGATTATTAGGTCATGTGAAGGCAGTGCCACTAAGGCAGGCTTGTATGTCTATTTTTATGGAATAATATCTTTTACTGCTAAGAAGCTAAGAATATTTTAATATTAACAGGAAAACTGTTGACTGTGTACACTAGTTTATGGTCATGAGACAGGGCACATCAGAAAATTGAAGTTTCTGCCACGAGGTGGCGCCACAAGCTATCTTCGCGATTTTCTGATGAATAAATAAAAATACAACTCCACTTCTCATGAGAAAAACAGAGTTGGTTTGCGTTACTATGAAGGAAATTCTTTCCATTCATGCAGTCATTTCATTTCATGTTCTGGGCAGTAGTCGGTCCTTTTAAAATTTTGTTTTGTTTAGCCGCTCACGATGAAATGACTTAAATTTCTTGCATAAGGGGCTGAAAAATTGCGATATCACTAAAACGTAAAGACCTATTACTACCCCAACAGGCACTCTACTGATAAGAGTGCATGTAATGCTATATTTGAGAATTGCATTTAGAGATATGTATGTGTACTCAATCTGCAATGCACTGTATTTCTGCCTATTAGCAGGTGTGCCCAGCACAGACGTATTTAGAATTTTTGACTTGCCGAAACCCATTGAAAATACTGGAGCTTTCCTGTGCCTGTGTTGGTGTTCAGCATTCTAAAGCGTAGTTTTATGTGCGTTTAAAGCACGAAGCACCAAGCCAATGAACGCATATCATTTTCTATGGTATGTCTCATTTTGTTGTATAAGATACACCCCCTTCTTTTCATGACTTTGAGAGGGAAAAAATAAACTGGTATACAGGCCACAGCTGTGTATGAGACATACCTATTATCTTGGCTAACATTATGAAACTTGATTGTACACTAATTGTAACATGTATATTGCTATAACTTCTAAGCTCGCTACCAGAGAGGTTGTTTATGAACAAAAGCAACACATGGGTGCTACCTTACAAGTAGTGCACTTACAAGTTGTGCACTTAACGAAGTACTGACATGATTTTGAGACATGGTAAAGTTTATAGTTTTTGTTTCCTTTGTGTACAGTGTAAATGCTCTCTTTACACTGGAGTCAGTCAACACGTATTAAGTATTTTACTTTAGTTTTAAGGTTTTTGTTCCTGAGCATTGGCAAGCCAGCCCCACCACAATGGACATTATCCCGACGAGTCAACTCAAACGCAAATTCATGAAGTTTCTGAGGTTCTGCATGAAGGCTAAATTGCAGAAAATTACTGTTGTGATCACTGGTGATAATTCACTCATTATTATTTAACTGTATCACAAGCAGATGACTTATCTACTGTTAGTGCTTCGCGAGTTGATGTTTCCCCATGACGTCACACTGCTATGACACGTCGCTGAGAAGCCGCTCCATTGATATCAAACCACAAGCGGTTTTTCCTAGGCAGTGGTATTAAAAATATATTCGATGCATTCTTAGGAACCATAATACACTTTCTAAGGTTCTAGACACCCGTGAGACAATCCGAAAATATTTGAAATTCATGTCAGCACTCCTTTAAGAGTTTCTTCATGCCTTACTGACATGCCCAAACAGCCATTGTAGTGAGCTGTATAGATCACTTCAAGGCACTGAATTTTCTTTGAGCTTCATATATATGTCACAGCCAAACTTGAATAAATGCTTCCCTTAGATGCAAGAAACCATTGTTTATTCCACTTTACTCAGGTCCACTGAAAGCCTTGGGCTCAGTGCTCTGTGTAAAAGGTCATCCACTTGTGATAGTGTTGCTCCATGACTGTCATGGGCATCTGAATATTTGCTGAGGCATGTTCACACAGGCCCACACAGAGAGGCATGCCCTCATGGAGAGCACTATAGCGGCAAACTGGACAAAGTTCCTACGCTGAGCAATGTCGTGCATTTCTCTGTGATTATCCCCACTTTCACTGCTTCTCTCTCTGCTGGCCTCGTGGCTTCAACTTATGCTTCCATTTTCTCTTAGCTTTTCCATCTTGTAACATCTACGCCTTGATTGAAGGACTGCCATCAGCAACCCACCTAGTGCAAGCAAGATTTTTCTGACATCTTGGCTGTTTGTGAAATATAAAATGGGCATCATTACTTATTCGGATGCTTCTGTAGCATTTCAAATAGCAGATAAATATTTTAAAAGCCAATTGTTAATCTGGAAAACTGCATGAGAAAAACTACTGAGGATGCATTGAACGTGCCAGGCCCGCCCATTCTTTTCCTGTACTCTTGCGGTGTGCAGTAAATAGGGGAGTTTATAGTACATAATGCAAAATTGATTATGTTTTAAGAAGTGTCCAATTGAATTTATGAGGCTTTGATTGCTATAGTCAATTACATTTCATAGCATAGTAAGCAGAGTGCAATTTCCTCAAAGAAAGTAATTGTCTTTTATTTCACAGTCTACTTGAGGACAAGGCCTGAAGTAGCGATGGGCAGAATCCAAAAAAGAAAACGTCCTGAGGAGGACCAACTTCCTTTTGTATGTATGATGAATTTTTAACTATGTATTAGTATGCTGTGATGAGCTGTGGAATACATTTCATCAAAGAAAGAAGTGGTACATTGTTGAGCAGCAAGTAAGGAGTGTTCCTCCACAGTAGTAAGGGAGATTCTTAGGCTGTGTTTCATTGCCACATTCATTGTGTCTAGACCTAAGAGGGGCATTGTTGATGATGCTGCTATGCTTTATAGAGTAACTTGTTCTACCAGGATGAAAAAGGACACGCATAAAGGCACAGCTATAGCTACTGAGGTCCTATTTTGTTTGTCACTTCTTATTGCTTATTAGCAATAAGGAGCAACAGCGGCGCTGGCGTAGTGGCTAGAGCATCCGCATCGCATGCAAAAGGTCCTTGGTTCGAATCTCGGTGCCGGGCAGTTCCCAACCGGATAAAAAAAAAACTCTACGACGTGATGGAACTGCATTAAGAGGCCTGGGGTGCGGCCTCACTGGTGACCACCACCAGTAACGCACTCCCTCACCAGAGAAGGATTGGCCACCCTGGTGCAGTATCTGGCCGCTACCTCCCACATGCATACGTCACTTGACTGGCGGCCCTCAGTCCCCAGCAGCTGCAAAGCAACTGACCACGGCGGTGGTCAAATCTTAAACGCAGTTGAGGGTGCTAAGAATCTCTGGATCCGGACAGGCCGCCATGGGAACCTGAGCTTGGCAACGTTTAACGCTAGAACCTTATCTAGTGAGGGAAGTCTAGCGGTACTATTGGAGGAACTAAAGGGTGTTAAATGGGATATAATAGGGCTCAGTGAGGTTAGGAGGACAGATGAGGCATATACGGTGCTACAGAATGGGCACGTCCTTTGCTATCGGAGCTTGGCTGACAGAAAAGAACTTGGAGTGGGGTTCCTAATTCACAGAAACATAGCCGGCTACATAGAGGAACACTATAGCATTAATGAAAGGGTGATAGGCATCGTAATTAAACTCGATAAGAGATACAAGATCAAGATGGTACAGGTTTACGCACCTACATTTGGCCATGATGACGCTTCAGTTGAAAGCTTTTATGAAGACGTGGAATCAGCTATGAGTAAGATAAAAACACAGTATACTATACTGATGGGAGACATTAATGCAAAGGTAGGGAAGAAGCAGGCTAGAGACCATGCAGTAGGAGATTATGGCATCGGTACTAGAAATGCCAGAGGAGAGCTACTAGTAGAATTCGCAGAACTCAATAATTTACGGATTTCGAATACCTTCTACCGAAAATGAGAAAACTGTAAGTGGACATGGAGGAGCCCTAATGGCGAAAATAAGAACGAAATAGACTTTATAATGAGTGTACACCCAAACATCGTGCAGGATGTGGAAGTGGTTGGCAAGGTACGATGCAGTGACCATAGAATGGTACGGTCTCGATTTCACCTAGACTTGAAGAAGGAACGACAGAAACTGATACGCAAGAAGCCAATCAATGAGCTAGCACTGAGAGGGAAAGTACAGTAATTCGGAGTCTTGCTTCAGAACAGGTACTCGGCTTTTATTGAGGAAAACAACTTTAGCGTAGATACAATGAATGATAATCTGACGAGTATTCTTAAGGAGGGTGCAGTGGAAGTTGTAGGCACGGTAGTTAGACAGGACACTGGCAAGCTTTCCCGGGAAACAAAAAATCTTATTAAGAAGCATCAAAGCATGAAAGTCTCAAGTACAACAGACAAAATAGAATTGGCAGAGCTTTCGAAGTTGATTAACAAGCGTAAGGTATCCGATGTAAGAAGGCATAACATGGAGAGAATTGAACATGCTCAGAAAAACAAAGGAAGCGTCAAAGCAGTGAAGAGGAAACTTGAGATAGGCAAAAATCGGATGTATGCTCTACGGAACAAAGAAGGCAAAATAACTACCAATATGGATAGGATAGTTAAAATAGCGGAGGAATTTTACAGAGATCTGTACAGTAGCCGGGACAACCATGACCTTAATATTATAAGAACTAGCAGTAACCCAGATTACACCCCACCAGTAATGATAGAGGAAGACAGAAGAGCCTTGGAGAGCATGCAAAGAGGCAAAGCTGCTGGTGAGGATCAGGTAACATCAGATCTGCTGAAAAATAGAGGAGAGATTGTGTTAGAAAAACTAGCCACCATGTTTACGAGGTGTCTCTTGACGGGAAGAGTACCAGAGTCTTGGAAGAATGCTAACATCATCTTAATACATAAAAATAGAGATGACAAGGAATTGAAAAATTAAAGGCTGATCAGCTTGCTCTCTGTAGTATACAAGCTATTTACAAAGGCACTCTCAAATTATGACTGGTAGATCGCCACTATCTCTCAAGAGGAAGGTATATAACAGCTGTATCTTGCCAGTACTTAGGACTTACAAAGAGGGTTCAACTTAAATTGAGGACTATGCAGCAAGCAATGGAAAGAAAAATGGTAGGTGTGACCTTAAGAGACAAGAAGAGAGCAGAGTGGATTAGGGAACAAACGGGGGTTAAGGATATCATAATTGAAATCACGAAGAGGAAATGGACATGGGCCGGGCATGTAGCGCATAGACAGGATAACTGCTGGTCATTAAGGGTAGCTAACTGGATTCCCAGACAAGGCAAGTTAGTTAGGGGGAGACAGAAGCTTAGGTGGGCAGATGAGATTAAGAAGTTTGCGGGTATATATTGGCAGCAGCAAGCACAAGATCGAGTTGACTGGTGGAACATGGGAGAGGCCTTTGTCCTGCAGTGGACGTAGTCGGCATGATGATGATGATGATGATGATTAGTATTTGCAGGAAATCATACTTAATAAACTACTTGCCTAACGAAGTAATTTAGAGTAAAATTTTTTTTTCTAAGATCATTATGTTTATATCCCTGGTATGAAATATAGCAGCACTACTGAATCAAATAATTGATCAGTTAATTTAATATCTTATGCTTTTTTTTTAGGATTGGCTTTGTAAAGTTCATGAACTTCACGAAGATTGGCTGCTTGGTCGCTCAAGTTTTCCACTGCCGCCTAAAGTCTTGGTGAGTATGCTGAAATCTTATCCAGGGACGGCTCTCAGTAAGTGAACAAGTTCTACAGCGTAGATAGTGTGCACCATATTTTTGTGGTGTATAAGACGCACTTTTTTTCCCGATATTTTCGCTGGTGCGTCTTGTATATGCAAAAAGTCATGTGATTCTGTGCGACTACTGTGTCGACATTTGATTCATGGGTACTATAAACTGAGCGCAAGAGAATTCGTAAAAGGACATCTTGGTATAACAATGAATTGAATGTGGTTTTAGATGTCGGCTATTTGCGGCGGGATCGAACTATAGATGGCAGAGTTGTCTCCGCAGAAGTGTGGATAGGCGGTTGGCGGCACGTATTCAAATACACGCAGCGGTGCTTCGTTGCGTGCAGTCTGAGCCGATTGTCAGCGAATATAAATGTGTTGACTGCAGTTTACTGGTAATATTTACTACGCTCCTCTCTTCTGAATCGGTGCATGAAGCCTATGCAATGTTACCATTACTAGCGAGTAAAGTGCATTGTGCCTTTCAAAGGGATGCTCGCGCTTGGTGACTGTCTGTGCGCTTTTGCACTAAATCACGTTTTTGCTGTGTTTTTTGTGGGTGTTAGCTTGTGTTTTGCCTGCTACACGCTGCTGTAGTGGGACGGAACTACTTATTCACTTGTTTATCATCTGTATAGATCAAAAACAAAAAAAGAGAGAAAGAGAAGGTTCCTAGAAAGCTTGCATATCTGTGCGATGAGTTCAGTACCACCATTTGCTCTTATAAGGATATGCATCTTTTTTTCTCATTCTGTTCACCATGAAATGTGGAACAGTCAATAAGTCTAGTCAGAAAACTTAGTGACTGACAGCGCTTCATGCTACATTGCATTTACCACGTATACGTACATGTTCTTGCATCAGTAGAAATATAAAAACCTTCTAAGAGTTGAGCAAAAATTTCATCGATGAATTACATGCATGACAGGGCTACAACAAAGGTCTGGTTATTTTATGGGACAAGCATTTTTTTTTTTTTTTCAGACGAAAAATGATCGCTGTCTTCTGTCGGTTAATAACAATGCCACAAAACGCTCTAGACTGTAAAAAAGATGACATTTTCAGTGAAATTATACAACATTAAATGTAAGACATGCCATCTGAATTATTTTGAATGTCTGGACTCTTCAAAGCATTCTTAAATCTAAGCACACGGTTGCTTAGATTTAAGCGTAAGTATCGAAGTGTCACAGTTTATGTGATAGTAATGTTTCGATGTAGTGTACCACGGCTCCTTGCACAATCAATAAACTACCGTGCCGTAGTTGTACACCTACCAACAGTGCACAAGTTTTTTGGCCTAGAGCCTCATTTTTGTTTACAACCGAGTCGCTAAAATGCTGCATTCATGCACCATTTCATAGTCCTCATGTTTGGGAGAATGCCAAGAACATTTTACATGTGCTTGAAGCAGTAAGCGGCACTCACTCTGCAATTGTTCTGGTGAATAGAGGGTACGACTACAATAAACAACACTCTGGAAAGTTGCATTCGCCGATCTTATTACAATGCATTAAAAGCCGAGGAAGACTAAATGCTTTCGTACATCGTTTCAGGCATACGTACAAGCAGTTATACTCGCGCTGACATAACCGGACAAACCACTTTTTGGGAACATGCATGACGTACGCGCAGATATAAACACAACGTGGCTAGCAGATGACGCACAGAGCAATCCACACTTGCGTGCTTCAGCCAGTTGCCGCCAGGCGGTGACTCTGCTCGATCTCGCGATGAATACTTGCTGTTTAAAAGGCTAGTTAGTCAACAGGCTCTGACATTTTTTTACACCCTCCCAAACAAGCTCAGCAAATCGTAGAGTAGGCTGCAGCGATCACGTTTTCTGAATATTACAGTGCTGCGCACAGCGCGAAGCCTTCATTTTGAAAAACAATTCCCGCACATCTTTCCTGCGTCTGACCAACCCCTTTCCACACGCTGTGACGTCAGCTCAGCGATCGGCGACGTGACATAGCACACAGCTCGGCGATTGGTCTAAAACATGTCTCAGCAAGCAGTAGAGATGTCTTCCTGTTTCCATGGTATCTCCCACAGCTACAACAGAGTTATTTAATCATGCAAGTTGCAAAACCTCCTGTACGCTCCATGTATCAAAACCCAGACACGTCACTAGCCCATTTTGTGGGATTGAGCAGATTTTTGCACCACCTGTTGATCAGCACACCCACTAATAAGCGCATTATTTGTGTTATGTGTTGCTGCTCCCAGATGACGCGACAGTCAGCTGATTTCCGAAAAATCAGGCCAACTGCATGTCCAGGTTTTGGAACGCAGTTTTGCTCCAATTCATTGCCGGCTGCAAATCGAGCGACTGGGCTGCGGAAAAGCATCGGCATTGGGTGAACAGTGAAGAGCTAGGCATCTCAGCAAGCGGAAGTGCGTTGTGACTGATCAAGTTTGCCGATGATGTCAATTGCTGACGTCGTGTCACGTTGTCAAAGAGGGCGGAGTCACAACGACGGGCTATGCCTTCCCGTCCCTTTGAGAGAGAATGGTGGTGAGACTGCGCGAAAATTTGAAACCAGCTGCAAGCGGTGTTCTAGCTCCGGTAACTTCCTTAATAAAGCATGTATTTGCAAAATTCTTGTTGCAGCATGTGCATGAAGTAAAAGTGCACATATTTCTCTTTATAACAATTTTTGGACCTTGGGGTTGTTTACTGGCCCTTTAAGCACGAGGCTACCATGGAGTTTATGGCTACAATAAAGGTCACCATCATCACCCAAACTATTGTATTGTTCAAATGGTTAGTTCTTAAATGAATAATTGATCAGCATCATCATCAGCCTGACTACGCCCACTGCAGGGCAAAGGCCCCTCCCATGATGCGTCAATCAACCCGGCTTTGTGCTTTCTGCTGCCGTCTTATACCTGCTAACTTTTTAATCTCATCTGCCCACATAACTTTCTGTCTTCCCTTCGTGTGTTTGCCTTCTTTGTGAATCCAGTCATTTACCCTTAATGACCAACGGTTATCCTGCCTACAGTTACGTGTCCGGCCTATGTCCATTTCTTCTTCTTGATTTCAACTATGATATCATTAACCCCAGTTTGCTCCCTGACCCACTCTGCTCTCTTCTTGTCTCTTGAGGTTACACCTATCATTTTCCTTTCCATCGCTCGCTGTGTCGTCTTCAATTTAATCTGAACCCTCATAGGTAAGTACCGGCAAGATGCAGCTGTTATATACCTACCTTCTGAGGGTTAGTGGCAGATTACCATTCATGAGTTGAGAATGCTTGCCGGATGTAATCAACCCCATCATTATTCTTCTAGTCATTTCACTCTCATGGTTTGGCTCCTCGGTTGCTACCTGTCCTACTACTTTACAATGATTCATTAAACCTATGGAACTGAGGCAATAAATAAAGAAGGGCACCACATCATTTCATTGTAACGTTGCAGAACCTGCAATACCAGTCACAGAAACAAAACTATCACTTTGTTATCATCCTCAAATTCTACATTAGGCATTGCACAGTAGCCGCAGCTTTCGACTTTCTATCGCCATTTACATTTTGTATGCGTTTGTGTGGGTGTGAATTTGGAATGTGTGGCGCGATCATTGTCTATGTGTTCCCGTCAATTCTTATAATCCTGCAGAGACAACACCAATGATGTGCTCCAAGGTGCTATCAATGCCGCATAAAAGAGTTAGTGAGAGGCCAAACACGGCAACTCTACGATGTTAACTGAAGCGGAAGAACTTTTGAGGAGGCATCCAAAGATAATGTTGCTTCTAATCCTGTGGAATGAATACTGGTTTTCTGCACTTATGGACAGCATTATTTACAAGTTTTATACTGCTGCTTAGAGGGTATTCAACACCGTGCATAACTCTGCGTGAGCATACTCTGCGTGTATCGTGTTTTATGACATTGACAGTGTCAAAAATAGGTGCGTCTTACACAAATATGCGTCTTATACATATATCTTTTTTTTTTCTGCGCAAGAGCCGTAAAAAGTAGGGGGTGCATCTTATGCAAACGTACAACTTATACTCTAGAAAATACAGTAGTCCTCAGTTGTTCTTCTGAAACGAAAACTAAACACCCTTTCTGGTATTATGAACATGTACCTAGTAACCATGACTGTAATTATTTCATGACTGTAATAATTTCAAAGTGTGCCTCCCACGCAGCTATATTGCAAGCAATAGGCCTCGCACTCTGTCAACAATGTGTTAGACAAGAAGAGAGTGTTAGACATGAAAAAAAAAAAAAAGTTTTATTTCTTGTAGTGCCAAGCCTAAATGCTCATGTAGCCCATTGCAGTGGGGTAAAAGAAGTGGCCAAACAACGCTGCTTCGCCAATACACTGTGCCTTCAATGAGAGCTTTCGAGTTGTCGCTACAGCTGCGCCAGGTGGCAGCAGAAGTACTCCGGGCCAAATTATTTTCTCCGCTGTACTTGCAGCTGGTAGTCGTCGCAAGTATTGAAACTATTTTTTTACTTAAAAATTACACAGGTTTTGGGCATGGTGGTATTCCGTTGCAGCTTCTAGTGCATACATGAAACAAAAAACAGCGGAAAGGGCACTAATTAAAAATATAATCTCTTAATCCTTTAGTTTTTAGCTCTCTTTCACCTTGTAATAGTTATCGTTTCTAATGTAAAATATGACAACTGTGGTTGCGCAGGCTTTTCACCAATCCCATATATATTAGTGGGACGGTTTGAAAATAAATCGGTTGGAAGTTAGCGCCTGTGTTCCTCAGTGTTGCTTGTTTTTGTCTCGTGTGTACTTTAGAAACTGCAGTGTATTTTTATGTTTGTGATTTTTTGAAAAAGAGTTTTGCAATATTGTGTTGTTCATCAAAAAGTTCTTGAATAACACTAAAAGATTTGCCACCGCTTAGAATGATACATGTTTGCTTCTCCCTTCATTTTGCTGGATACAGATTGGTTCTGTGAACTATGTAACTAATGAATCGCTTCCTAATGAATCACGTCTGAAAATGATTTTTTTTAATGTTATCACTAAAGTACACCTGATTTTTATTAAAACTATTACAAAAGCTATTTAGTAGTATGAGAAAACTAAAAAAATATATAGTTACCGTCTTCGGAATGACTGTTGTCATATCAACTAACAGAAATTATATTATGTGTCTGTATCAAGTGCGACAGGTAAATTTTCAACCATCTCTAATCATGCTGAAAAAAAATTTGCTCCTATATGTGAATGTGAGAAGTAGTTATTTAGGTGTCATACTTGGGAAAAAATGTTGTGTTGGCTAGAGGGTGCTTTGCACTTAGGGCATGGAAGTGAAACTGTGTTGCGGTAAATAATTTATATCAAATTACTGGTTTGAGCAATTGCTATGAAAAGAATTTTTTTTTCTTAATCTCAGGGCACCAATGTCTCATGACTGTGATATTTTAGTTCATTTTCGTTTTTGTTCATTATTTCTGGCTTTGGAGAAAAATTGCAAAATGCTGCATGTTTAGTGTTTTGTAATAAAAGCAAACATTTTTTGGCAAGTAATGTATTGACATTGTGGTGAATAATAAATGGTAAAAGTGATAATAAATGGTTAAAATACTCCAGGAGCAAATAAAGCAGCAGTTCCACAGTATTTTGACAAAGTTCACCATTTGGGCAAATCTCTAGGCTGGCTTTCCTGCAAAGTTGTTTTCCAACCAAAACGTCTCGTTCCCTGACCGCTTTTTTTACTCATTGTGTTTTTGTCTTCCCCCACTCCCTTCCTTACGAACGACAGGTGTCTCACCCGCCATGCTATCTGAGGGTTCCTTCGAGGTGGGACAACCACACAGTAATTGTTGGGAGGAAAAGTAGTTTGTCCCACCCGCGTGCCTTCACTGGAATAGGAGCGGTAAAAGCACAGTGAGCAAGAAAAGCAGTCCGGGCACGGAGTTTTTTTTCCCTTTTGGTTAAAAATCAACCTTGCAGGAAAGTCGCCTTGTAGATTTCTTCAAACGGTCAATTGCGACTTCATTTTCGCTATGTAAAATTATGGCTTGTACATCTTTGTGTAGTATGCTTTGTTGGTATGGCATACAGAGACCCTGAATATGGTAGCTTTTTTTTTTTTTCAAGGGAGAAAAAAAAATTTTCGACAGCACCGGTTTAAGGCGATTTGATATTATGCCCATAAATGACACTTCAGTTGCCATTTACGGACGGGATTTAACATTGTCATCCTCCTCTTTCCTGATGGCTTGATGGTCTGAGGGTGTTCAAAATGTTGAAGGCACATTTGGTATAGGTGATTGGCTTTTAAAATTTTTAGCACCTGCCTCTCAGCTTGCCATTCCTGTCTCTGAGCTTGCAGGATTTCAGATTTGATTTCCGTGCTGGCGAGCATGAATTACCACACTTTGTGCACCCTATCACTGCAGGTCTGCAAATTGCACACATTTCATTGTGTAGCTACAAGTTTTAATTTAGTGTGTTTACTGCATGGTTTTATATATATGTGTGTAGCATGGTATCCCTTTGTTAAGCAGAAAGTGCAAAGCAAATGTAGTTATTTAAATTAATAAATTCAGTGTTATGTGGGCAAAATGGGAGTGGATCTACCAGGTAGCAGTCGTGCTGACTGTTTACAGAACCCTTAAATGCCCCTCAAAGAATGCCAAGGTTCCACAGAATCTAGTTTGAGAACCCTGTGCTTGAGCCAAAGGACAAAAAATAAAGGGGACCATTTAGGCAACAAGTGCTGCCTCTTTTTTTTCTTCTTCTTTTCCTATGTTACATGATCCAGATTTGTATTGACTGCACTATGCTTTCTGCACTGAGTAACCCTGCGAAGGGTGCATTTTGCCTGGGAGAATTTGTGTGTGTGTGACCTTGATTTTTGCTTGAAGTGTGGTTTTCTGTTGCACCTTCTGATTAAACTTCGAATTTTTGTATCCTGATGCATTAAAAACGTGCAATACTCAGCTGTGAAACTGATTTTTCTAGCAAGACAAACTGCTAGCTTCATCCCCCAAATGATTAATAATACGTAACACTTCTTGTTGCATGTTTATTGACAAGTTCTTTTGTGTGCAGGTGATTGATGCTAACCAGGATTGCATTGACATCCAGAAAGAGTTTGCACGACACTTGCCCGACATCTTGGAACGAGGACACTTATGTCAAGCCCCCTTTGCTCTACATCCTGTGTGACATGCCACATTCTTTTGTTTTCGCATTGTTGGAATTGGCCAGGCAGGTTTGGTGTACTTTTGTGTTGGTTTTTGGGCTGCACGTTTCTTTGTCAAGATGATGAAAGGAGGCTAAATGAAGGCTGCTGGAAATACATGTCAGGAAATTTGATATCTAAAGCTGTAATTACCAGAAGTATTCATGTCAGTTTTTATCAGTTTCTTAGCAATCTTTCATGTCACATATAAATGTGACCATTGACGAGGCGCTTTAGGTTAAATTATAACTTAGTAACTAATGTGATTTGTGAGCTTTGTGCCTTGCTGCACTGTAAGTCATTCTGTGATTGTGATGTTTCTTCCTGTCATAAGAGGACAATTCAATCATTAGGGAAGTGAGTTACTGTAGGCCTGGTTTATAGAGTTCCGTTAATGCACTGAATTTGTATGACATGCCAGATTGGCTTACAGAAAAAGTGTATTTACTGACAAAGTACTGCCAGTTCTATTTGTACAACTGACAGTATGTGATTGGAGTTGTAATCTCAAACATAGTCACCCGTAATAGTGCCTTCTCTTTGAATGGTTCTCTATCTACTTTGTGTCATTCTTCATAACTTCAGTGTAAATGTAGGCCATTGGAATTTTGCTTGAGGCAACGTCATACAGATTTGGAAAAAAAGAGAAGGTAAAAGGTTTGTGTCCTTCTAATAAACTACCTGTTCTAAGCAGTAACTAAAGTATTAGGTAGAAGTGCTGTTAATCTGTTCATCCTATTGTAATATGAGGTGCCTATGTGTTAGCCATGCCCCCCAGCGGTAGTCTAGTGGCTAAGGTACTCAACTGCTGACCCGCAGGTCACGGGATCGAATCCCAGCTGAGGCGGCTGCATTTTCGATGGAGGCAAAAATGCTGTAGGCCCGTGTGCTCATATTTGGGTGCACGTTAAACTCCAGGTGGTCGAAATTTCTGGAGCCCTCACCACGGCGTCTCTCGTAATCATATGGTGGTTTAGGGACGTTGAATCCCACATATCGATCAATGAATGAATATGTTGTAGCCATTCAGAATTATCCACATTAATGGAAAAAAAATCTTTTCATAATGTCTATAAGCATTCTTGCCTGATGGCATCGTCAAGCTATGTCTTTTGCTTAGCAAAGGGCCTTATAAAGGTATTATTGCTTAACAAAAGTGGCTTATAAAAGTATTATTGTGATTTGGGTTACATGTTAGAAATCGGTTTTGCACTAGCAGTTATTGTATAGTAAGGCACATGTGTTGATATTGCTAGTTTTGTTTATTGCATATTTATAGTGCATCATTAGCTGTATTTACAGATATTACCTGTATTTAATTGATAGCCCATTCTCAGCTTATGATGGCTAGCCATATGTTATAAAAGTCCGGCAGTTTAGAAACGTAATATCGCAACAGCAACTCATGTGAGCAATGCCTTTGTGGCAGAAAAACAGCTATCTTAAAATTTTACTGCGATCGTTGTGGGTTACATTGAAGATGGTTGAAACGTCTTTTTACAAGATATGTGTGATTCTGACTTTTCATGAACTTTTTTTTTTTTTTTTGGTAAGAATGTTATGTTGAAAAGCCTATCTGGGTTCATAGAAGTTTCCCTTTTTCGTGGGCTTTCATATGGCAGTATTGGTGTTCTTGATTTTATGGTGGTGTGCATTATATTTTTTGATGTCTTAAGCCCTTAGTAACACGATTTGAATAACATGATTTGAATATATTCAGATGGGTGGCTGAATATATTCAGATGAGTGGCTGAACAATTGTATCTCTTACCCTTGCTTGCATTTATTAGGCTATTTTTCATGTGTATTACATTTTGCTGTGTACTCATTTATTACATAAGGAAGAAGTTTTCACGCACTCACTATTATAGACTTCACATTTGTATTACATCATCATAAGATGAGTATAAGGCATCAAAACCCATACTTTACAGTACATGCAAAAACTATAAGTGGAGAGGGTAGAGCCAGGACACCTGGACCCCATCCCTTCCCCTCTGCATGTTGCTGTAGAGTTTAGAAAAGTTTATACACAGCACTGGGTGAGAAATTTACAAGTGGGGCTGCTATGTGGTACATAGCGTTGCCTTTTCCAATGCTAATGCCTTGTCACATGTCATCGGTGGTCACAGTGACAGTTTGCCCATGTTAGCAACTGGATCAGCTGGCTGTATTGCTGGACGATAAGCCTAGCGTGTAGAAATAGGTAAAATGCACCAACACTAAATACCAGCACTGTCACTTGCGACTTTGCGCACAAACTTACTCAATTGTCGGTATCATTTCACGCAATTTAATGATTATGTTGCATATTTCTGTGCACCTCGTTCTTTTTTTTCATGCTGCTCAACTTTTCCCAATCATGGATGCTTGATGTGTACGCTTGTGTTTTGAAGCTTAGGCGCTTCCATATTTCACAATAAACAAGTCATAGTTGAACTGCTGTTGCCTGTTGCTCAACTTTGCTGACCTATAGTGGTGTGATACTGTGGCAAATACATTATGAATAATTGATAGTCTGTGGTTAGTATATAAAAATTAATTGGTGATGATTGTGCCATTTTGTTTGTGCATTTGTCGTAGAAAAATGGGGCATAGGCACATGCTGAGGGTATCATTCGAATTATTTATTAATAATAACACAAATACAAAGCAAATATAATACAAAAGAAGGGGTCCCAAGGTAAGCACTGTCAGGGGTAGTACATGATTAAAAAATGTAGAACGAAAGATTGGCAACTAAGGTAAGAGCAGCAAATGAATAAAAAAAAAAATCACAGTGTAAATATTCAACCTTTTGATAGTTCAAAAATAAATGTGCAACTGAAACATACCAGCAGAAGAACAGCGAATATGAATAATCAAAGGCATCAATAGCATTACTACAGATATATGACAGTGCGTAACATAAAAACACTTATGCACATGTGTATATACATGTACACACATACTACAGATATGCATTGATATCCCCACATATATATATTTCTTTATTCAGATAACATATGTGGTTAGCCAAAACTGTTTTAGATTCCACCAGATGGCAGAGATTTTGAGGGTGAAATCGCAGAAAAAAAAAAAGATGTCACTTTACCATAGTTAGTGCCTACTTACAGCATTGGCCACCATACTTCACAGTGGGGACATGGTGCTTAGGTAGAGATGCTATTGGTGTACAAGTTTTTTTTTTTTGTCTTTTTTTGTAATTGCATAGAGCATTACAGAGATGACAGTTTCCAGAATTTCCAAATGGCTTCATTTATGTTGAGAACAGGCACTCCTGTAAAATATTAGTGCTTTATTTTAAATGAACTATTGTTTTATAGTACCTCTGTTATGCCAAGTGGTGTATAGTAGGCAACATTGCATTTAAAGAACACGAAAAAAAGTTTTTTTACAATCTACGGGACCCATAGAGAACAATTCAGGGTGAATGCCAAGAAATTAATATTGAAAACAAAGCGAAAAGAAGGAAAAAGCAAAGTTTAAAGTAATGGACCAGCAACTGACATTATTTCAGTAAAATGTTGGATGCAAAGAAAAAAACGCCAGGCCTGCTTGGAACGTCTAGCACATTCACAATGAAAGCTGGACTGTGCTAGCGGCCTTTCAGAGCCTTTTTTAAACTATCCTTAGGTAACTGCTACAAGGACACTTGCAGGGTACCCACTGTGCCATAAATTGTCATAATTTTTGTGTTCTAGGAAGGCATACACTATACCATCCTTCATTCTTCAGAGAAGCATGGTACATGCTACACACTTGCAAAAAATTTTGCGCGATTTCTTTATGCTGTGGCTGACTAGAATGAAGAATTATCCCTAGTGCTATTGTATTGGGTTGTACCATTCCATGAATCACTCGTCCTTGGTGTTCTAAAGCACTTTATTACACTCATTAATGAGATTCCTTTCCTGAGACAAAGCCTCCTTAGGGTCAGTTTGCAATGAAGTTCCAAGCTCCAGCAGAGCTCAGGGGTAGAATGCTGGGCTGCCATGCAGGAGACCTCGGTGCGAATCCCATTGTGTTTTTGGCATTCTTTATTTACTTAGTTCTTTTCTCACTTTGTGTGATAGTGGTTACAGACACTGGCAGCGGCAGTGAACAACTACGATGCACGCGACCTTTGTGATCTCATAATAGTCTTTGCTGTAAAACAGCACATGTATAGCAACTGTCACAGTAGCAAGTCATACTTACTTGCGTTATATTGCATACAGCAATGTGTATCTGAGAAATTGAACGTTTAGTTTGATACAGAGACAGCAGGCTCCCAGTCATTGAGCCCGAGTTTTTTTTTTTTTTTTTTTCAATATGACTAATTTTTTCCGTAACCTTACGAGAAGTGTAGTTCTACACTGCATTATATCAATCATTGTTTTGAATGTTAATGCATTTAGCTGGGGTAGCTGGTATTGACCGAATGCTTTCGTATTACAAGCAATCATGCACAAGGACTACAGAGTCTTGTCCTGTCTCTTTCTCTGTAGTCATTATGTATGTTCGGTAGAAATATGGAAACGTTCTAAATGTTTCCATGACACCATATTCCTTTCAGTTCCTGGGATTATATACCAAACACAGTATCAAAGACCTCCATGCTGGTTATCCAGTCCACCTTTTTTATTAAAACAATAGCAGGGCAGCTCTTCTGAGCATGCATAATGAGGGGCTTGGAGAGTACCTTAGTAACTTGCACTTCCCCGATGACATTGCATTGCTGAGTAACTCGGGGGACGAATCGCAACTCATGATTACGGAGTTAGACAAGGAGAGCAGAAAGGTGGGTCTTAAACTGAGTCTGCAGAAAACGAAACTAATGTACAACAACCTCGGAAAAAAGCAGCGCTTCGATATAGGTAATAGTGCACTTCAAGTTGTAAAAGACTATGTCTACTTAGGGCAGGTAATAACCGCGGATCCGAACCACGAGATTGAAGTAACTAGAAGAATAAGAATGGGGTGGAGCACATTCGGCAAGCACTCTCAAATTATGACAGGTAGATTGCCACTATCACTCAAGAGAAAGGTATATAACAGCTGTATTTTGCCAGTACTTAGCTACGGAGCAGAAACCTGGAGACTTACAAAGAAGGTTCAGATTAAATTCAGGACGACACAGCGAGCAATAGAAATAAAAATGGTAGGTGTAACCTTAAGAGACAAGAAGAGAGCAGAGTAGAGTAGGGAACAAACGGGGGTTAAGGATATCGTAGCTGAAATCAAGAACAAATGAACATGGGTCGGGAATTTAGCGCGTAGACAGGATAACCGCTGGTCGCTAAGGGTAACTAACTGGATTTCCAGAGAAGGCAAGCGGGTTAGGGGGAGACGGAAGGTTAGGTGGGCAGATGAGATTAAGAAGTTTGCGGGTATAAATTGGCAGCAGCAAGCACAGGACCAGGTTAACTGGCGGAACATGGGAGAGGCCTTTGTCCTGCAGTGGACGTAGTCAGGCTGATGATGATGATGATGAATGAGGGGCTTAAAGTGGCCAGATCATTGTCATCTTGTTTTTGAAAACCTGTATGCATTCAGGTGCACAAGCTATGCAAAGCACTGTTGTGCACATTTTTTTCTTCATAGTGGACAACCTGTAAGTTTTTATGTAAAACTATATAAGTTTTTATCTAAGTTTTTATGTAAAAAGACAGGCGGGACTTGGTGCTGGCTAACAATATAAATGTTTATTTCTTAGATACAAATATGCATGCTTTTTTGGAAAGAAAAATAACAAAAAGAGGGTAAACGTGAAGCCTTACGCATGCATCTAGGCTAGTCCATGGATATGCAGTCTTAAAATGCTGAGATAATTAATATCCTTGTCAGTTTGTACGATAAATGAAGGTATGATAAATGGTGCAAGTGAAGGCTGAGTGAAATGGATTGTGAAAGCTTCATAGATTTCCTGGGCACGGCAGTTGCAGTATCTGTACAAAACTCGCGTCTGTTCAAATTGGGGAATGCAGCCACTCTCCGCCCAAATAATTGCCAGATTGCTTCATGTTTTGGTCTTGAGACTGTCTTTGTGCTCTCGCAGCAGGTCGTTGATGCAGTGACCAGTCATCACCACCAGCGACCTAGAGGCCACCACAAGATGCGTGTACCTCGTATACGCATCTGAAGTTATCTTCAGATAACTTCAGCCTTGGAGGCACAAACTGCATTGCATGTTGTCTCTTGCAAATAGTCAAGAAACATTCACTTTCTTGCACAATGGACTAAAATTGATTGGTGCTAAGAACACAAACCCCACACTGGCACGAGCGGCAACCTTCTTGATCTTGTGCAAAACACAGTGCAGATAGGGCATGACTGCCGCTCACTCCCTGTCATCCACAGCATGAGGTTTCGTTACCTTGCAGTGTTCCTTCAGGTGTGCCCAACCCCTACAGGAACTAATCAGATAAGCCAGCCTTCCTCAATCTGCAAACTTAATTGTTGAAGCTTAAAGTGACTTGATGCAGGCATGACTCAACAGAACAGAGCATTCTTCATAGTAGGAGGTGGGATAGTACACCTGACTAGCTTAAAGTATCAGATGTGAGTTTTGCACAGATGGCATGACTATTGCACCTGGGAAAACTATGAAGCTTTCACAATTCATTTCATTGGACCTTTGTGTTTTAGTGAACTGTCAATTATACTAATTAATTAGAATAATAATTATCTACACATTTTGAAGTTATGTTTTCATGGACTATACGGGACGCATGCATAGAGCTTTGCCTTTCCCCTTGTTTTTGTTATTTCCCTTTCTAAAGAAGTATACCTTCGAAATAAACGTTCATGTCAGTACCATTGCCAAGTTCTGTCTGTCATCCTTCTCCCGTTTGCCTGCACTGTTTCCCGATATGAAGCTGTGCCTACAAGCTCAAGGTCAAACCCTTTTAGAGGTTGGTTATTTTGTGACCTTATAGCCTGCACCCAAAGATTAGCTGCTGATGTTTTTTTTCTAGATGCCTTATGTCACAAAGTAATATTTACATGCATTGATGGCTTACTATCTCTCTAAGTAGTACATCTATCAAGTCTTGGGATGCTTTGTTCAACTAAAATGTTAAGAAGCTTCACTGTGTTGTGCCTTGTTTTGTCTCTATGCTTTTAGAGGAAGAAGGGGGCAGAAAAAGGGAAAGAAAGCAGTAAGTAGATAAGTGATGTATGTGTGAAGAAGAAGATGTGCTTGCAGCGAGCAGCATCGCCAACGCTCGGCTCTCTCGGGTCGTGCTTCGGTTCGCTGCTGTGCCGGTCTCTGCTGGACGGTTCATCACGCTGTCTTGCTGTTGTCGTTAACGACCAATAAACCTCTTCACATTTGGTGGAGGGTGCTGTTTATCCCCGTCGCTACACCCTGGAGCTGCGAAGCCGCACGCTACCGCCTGTCATGGCTGACAACGCTAACCCATCTGCGTCGTCGCCCCAGATCCACTGTCCCGGCA